CTCTCCTTTTTGAACTTCTGCCTGTTTTCTTTTAAAAATGTGTGTGTTCACCTGAGTCAATGAAAAAGTCATGGAAATCCAGGAAGAAAGAAGAATGTATGGGCGCTCCCATGCTATTCAAGTCTCCAAGTGCTTAACTATAGCACTTCCAGGGTATTAATTAATAGACTCTGTTAATTCCTAAGAAGGAAAGCCTTCACGTTGCCAGTCTGAATGACACCAATGCCCCTACATGAGTACCATGTCGTATAAGTGGACTTTGGTGACACTTTCAGTTCAAAGCAGAGTATTCTCCTGGAAGTCACATAACCTGCCAAAGGCCAGGACTCATGAGATCAGTCCATCCCTGCGGAGATCTGCACTCTGGGGCATGGAGGTGTACTGGCCATCACATCTCCTGGCTGGGGCTTGCTGTCATCCCCCGACTCAAAACATGTGGGAACAAGTGCACACCACTGTGCCAACCAAACCACTGCCACATCTATGTTACTGATAAATCCAGCTGCTGATTTTAATCAGCTTTGAAATCCTAGATTTGGGGGATGGAACAGGGCAGGGGAGAGAGTGTTAGTGCATGGCAGCCCTTTTCATGTCGTATAAATCATGAAGCAGAGCTTCCTCGGCAAGTACGTCTTGCCTCCAGTCTGAGGCTACCTGTTGGTACAGGAACTATGAGTGTACATGTGTGTGTGCATCTGAGAGGGAGAGACACACAGAGAGCACATGCAGGACTTCATAGCATAGAATTGTTTTGGTTGGAAAAGACCTTTAAGATCATCAAGTTCAACCATTAATGTAGCATTGCTAAATCCACCACTAAACCCTGTCCCTAAGTGCCACATCTACATGTCTTTTAAATACCTCCAGGGATGGCGACTCAACCACTTCCCGGGGCTGCCTGTTCCAGTGCTTGACAACCCTTTTGGTGAAGAAATTGTTCCTAATATCCAATCTAAAGCTTCCCTGTCACAAGTTGAGGCCATTTCCTCTTGTCCCATCACTTGTTACTTGGGAGAAGTGTCTGACCCCCACCTGGCTACAACCTCCTTTCAGGTAGTTGTAGAGACCGGTAAGGTCTCCCCTCAGCCTTCTTTTCTCCACACTAAACAATCCCAGTTCCCTCAGCTGCTCCTCATAGGATTCATCCATAAAGGAAAATGAAAATAGCCTTAAATACACTTAAACACCACTTCAGCATGGCCAGTAACCCCGCCTGTTGCCTAAATTCCTCCTTTCTACTTAACTTGCACTTTTGGAGACTGGTCCCTGGCTGCCTTACAGTTCTGAGTGGGAAGGACTCCTTTGTCTCTCCATCCTTAGAGGACATGATTGCCAGGTGCATCCTTAAGAGACACTGAGTTGCACTTTTTAGCCTCGTTGCTGGAAAAAACCAAAAAAAATGCTCCAAATGACAGCACAACGTAACACTTCAGTATCTCTGATCAACCCACTTGCTTAGCTATCCTATGTTTTGGTCCGTCAGGGTTCATGTGTGGAGCACTGTGTGGTGTAACCCACGAAGAGGATGCCACATGAGCCAGGGCCAGCGGTGGTACCTACCGGCAGCAGGTGACAATCAGTGCTACGCCCATGATAAGCAGAAGTCCTCCTCCTGCAGCCGCGATCACCACGGTGATGAGCTGATAGGCTACAGACGGAAAAGACAGAGACTCACTTAGAAACAGCAACGTGGTTGTAAATACTAATGTGAACATATCAGCAGTCCTCATGCAAGGAGATTGACTGTTTATTTCCCATTTTCCCTCCATCTTTAAGCAATATTGCCTTAAACTTTCAAGTGAAATGGACAGAGTTGGGGATCTCCCGCTGAAGGAAGAACAAGCTCTTGTTTCCCTAGGGTATGGATTCCCCCCACTGATAGATCAGAATAATTTAAACGATATTTCATGGATTCACCTCCGAATATCTTGCTTCAAGAGTGCCCGCTATATGTGTTATCATGACAGAGTATCCAGCGAACGGAGATCTCCTTTCATTAGGAGATAACATTAAGTCAACTTTGTCAAAGAAAGTCAACAAAATAATTTTCAACAAAAAATGAAGAAACAAAAAACACTGACAAGAGTAGTGTGTACCTACTGAATTTTAGACTTAATCATTTGCAATTACTTGTTTCAAATTTCCCATGTCTGACACTGTGGAAATTAAAAGAAACAAAACTCAGTACTTACGGTTTCCACAGTTGAATCCCCCTAAGCCAAACGGGCAGCTGGTAACAGAAAACAACAGGGAGTTTCAGCGCCTTAGTTGTGCTGACAGGTCACCAAAGCAATATTAAGAAGGATGGTGGGGTAGGAGGAGGGCAGAACAGTTACCATACCTCACACAGGTCTCGTTTTCCAGCTTATATCCATCTTCACAGGCTAAAAACAGAAAAGAGAGAAGGGCCGTGAGCACCGCGCAGTGGTGCAGGGGAGGCATTTCCCATCGCCGCTTCCCACGGCAGCCTCACCCCAAATAACCTTGGGGGCTGACAAGCCGGTCTGTGCTGCT